TTACAAGGCTTTGGGCCTCATGTTGGTGTCCCTTGATGGGGATTGTTGTGTCCTCGAACAGGTATTTGTGCCTGCGCTTTGGGTGCGAGGGCTTGGGCCCGGGATGGTGTCCCAGTGTGTGCCAGCTTGCAGTGTGTGACTTCATGGGATGTGATAGCCGTGCAGGGTGCGCTCCGTGGAGTCTGAAGTTTGACATGTGCCTGGCGTATTTGATGATGGTGTAGCCTTAGCGCTTGCGTCTAAGTGTGATCAGTGTGTGCGTGAAGTCGCTTGCTTTTGCTCCGCTCCATCTTCCTCTTGCTTGCTTGAGTCATGGCGGTCTGGCGCGCCAAGTTGGTTGATGCAGGTGTGTATCCGGGCTGGGTATGACTCAGAGGAGCTCTTCTGTGGCGCGTTTGTGGACCAGGCAGCGTTTGAAGGGTGGATGGCTAAATTTCAGGCCAAACTCCCAGATGCAGCGCTCACTGGTTTGGCGGCCGATGAGTGGAAAACGCACCCAGTGGCAGCCAGGTTGCGTATTTTTTGGCAAAGTCTGCAGCGGTCCCCTGTGGTGGGCCAGCAGGCGTTGGCTACTCGATCCGCTGAGACTGCTTTGGCTCTCCTGACGCCCAACTCCGGCGCCAAGTTGAGCCCCAGTGATCGGGAGAGGATGCGTCGCCAGCTTGAGAAGAATTATTCCTCGCAGACACTTTCCCAGCGCTGTGCTACCTGAATACCATTCAACAGCTAAAGGTGGGAGTGGCTTCCCTGGCGTCGCGCCCTAAGCGAGGAACAGCTTCTGGAAGTCAAGGCTCGTCGCAGCCGGACTTGCAGCGACTCGCAACCAGATGAGTGGGACCTTGACATTGCAGGCGCGGCCCTACGGGTTCAACACCTGCTTGAAACGCGGGCCCACGCCTTCGCGATGATAGGCGCCTGCCATCTACACAGTTGGACAGTCTACATCAAAAAGTTCCTTCACTTTTATGCCCGTAGACCGGCGGAGAACTTCAGGTCACCATCCGTGTCCGAGGCCGAGATGGCAGATAGGGCCGTGCTTGAGAAGGTGTTCCAGCTTTGTTTTTCGGGCTACTCGCTTGATGACGCCCTATCACATGTGGTTGTGGACCGCGATATGCTTCGACATGTGCTTGTGGAGCGGCCGAGATTGGCAAAGGCAGACAAGGAAAAGGTGGCTACGCCGCCGCCACCTCCTACAACATTGCCGCCGTTGCCCCGCCGCCCAGGCACTCAAAGGCGCAAAAGCTCCCTGGGCGCGAAGGGCGCTGCCAGCAAGCGTCTGCGCAATGGAGAATGCCGGGACTGGGTGGAGGGACGCTGCGTGTCCAAGTTTTGCCGCTTCAAGCATGAATGCGCAGTGTGTGGTGATGTCAAGCATCATGCGGTCATTTGTCCGCCGTCGCGAGGATGCACTGCGGCTGCGTGATGGGGGTGGTATCCACTCCGATGCAGATTGGTGTTATCCTCGAGCAGCTGATTCGCTAAAGCAGTTGCGGCGCCTGTGGCTTCAGCGTATTGAACAGTGGGGCCTGCAGAGCAAAGGCTAGTCAGCGCAATAGCGTCAGGGGCGCGTAATCCATTGCTGAGTGATGGAGAGACACAGCAACTTCGTTTTGACGGAGAGAGCAGGGGATTGAGCGTTCTGAGCGTGTTGTGCCTGGTCAGCCGCTTGCGCTTGAGCTCTGGGATGGTCTACTTACAGTCACGCAGGATGTGGATGCGGAGCTCCCTCGTCTACTAGAGCATGGTGTGTCTACAGGCGTTGTGAACACAATCCCGCCTTCCGGCGTATGGCGCGAAGTGGAGGTCGCGGAGCGGCCGGATCTGGAGCTGCTTGTGCATGATGCGCCTTGGGGATCAGGGCGGGCAGACCCGAGGCTGCTGATGGAGCTTGTTCAGGCAGATGTGGATTGCGGCTTTGCAGAATGGCTGCCCAGAGGTTTGGCCCAGGCTCGTGCGAAGTTTGGGGATCATTGTGCAGCAGGCCGGTTAGGGCTAGTTCACAAGGATGGCGCGCCGCCGCGACTTGTAGGCGACAGCATTCGCGCCGTCCGAATGAGGACTGGACGGCCTTCGTGCTTGATGTCAGTAAGGCGCACAAGCGCGTGAAGGTGCGTCACTCTGAGCAAGGGCTGTCTTTATTTACTGTTATTGATGAGTCTGGTCGTACACATTGGCTGGTCTACAAAACCTGTCATTTCGGCTGCGCCTGGGCGGCCTTCTGGTGGGCGCGTGTTGCGGCAGGGCTGATTCGATTAACGCACGTGTTGATTGCCATCATATCGCATTTCCTGTCCATCTATGTTGATGACAGCTTGAGCCTATTGCCTTCGAGCTCCGCGAAAGTATGAGCTTGTTTGCAGATCTTGCTGGCCTGTGCCCTTGGCGTGCCACTGTCATGGCATAAGTTGTATCTTGGTAAGCAGGTGCGCTGGATTGGCTGGCTCTTCAATTTGGGAGGAAAGTTGTGTGCAACTCTGCCCGAAGATAAGTCAGTTCGGCTAGTGGCCGCTTTATCGGCAGTGGCGCGCGTAGGCTCGCGTCACAGCAGGCGTGAACTGGAGTCCCTGGTGGGGCTGTTGTCTTGGTACACATGCGGAGCCCGGTGGCTTAAGCAATGGACGGCCATTTGGTTCCGAATGCTGCTGAAGGCGGTGTTGCGCTTTCTCCCCTTGGACCGGGCGCAGTTGGCAGAAGTGCTGGAGTTGTTGAATAGTCGCGCGAGACTCTTACAGCGGGCACAGTTGTGTGACGCTCAAGCCGGGTGGAAGCTGCTGGAGTGTGGTGGGCAGATTGTTAAGAATTCATGGTTTCAGGACTGTGAATTTAAAAATGGTCGCGTGTGGGTGAAGTTTGGGGACTTTGATGCAAGCTGCGTCCAGGCCACGAAGGAGGAGTCTAGCGTTGCTTTGTTCTTTCTCCGAATAGTACAAGCCAACTCACCAGTCCACCTTGTGGAAAAGGAGGGGCCGTGCGTTGTGGCGGCTGCTGATGCGTTTGCGGAAAGGGATGTGGCCGGTTTGGGGGGGTGGAGGCTCCAGCCAGGCTGTGCGCTGAGCTTGGCC